TAGGTGGGGCGCGAGCTCTTGGTGTCAGTTGCGCATTTGTTGTAGCCGCTGAGCAGCATGCGTTCTGATCAGCTCCACCAAGTGGTGTTGGCGACCCCTGGCGCAGTCCCCTTAGGCCACGAAAGACGGTGCTGCCTCCTTGATGAAACCTGACGGTCCCATGTTTTTGACGCGTATGTTTTTGGAGTGGGGCGCAAGAGCGCAGCCCGTTACCCGTGTTTTTCAAGAGCCAAAACACGCCCTGTACGTGTGTTTTGAATCTCAACAAACCGTAGGAGATTCTTCCTCGTATTCGTAAAATATGTGTGCCGCAGTGCCGTGGGCTCAAGTCGATATTGTTTCCGTAAGGTTTGTGGCTTTGCATGTGTGTTGCCGCATGATGCGCACGAGAAGACACCCAACCGCAACCGTGGCTAGGGTACATACGCAGGCAGGAGATGGGAGGTGCTTGCTGCCTTTCGCGGGGGCTGCTGCCTGTTGAGAGGAAAACGATGAGCTGACTGACGCCTAGCGATGTGGCACGCGTACAAACCAGGCGTTTGGATTGCGATAGCGGACAAGGAGTAGAAGGGAAGGGGGAAGCCAGGGATCTTGCCTTAGGTGTATACTACGAGCGACGGCAGTGGGTAATGTTGACCTACAATAACACAAATCAAACGCTTGTGGAGTGGCTTCGACGAGGAAGGCACCGATCCATCTGGTACATCTGACGGGACGTTGGATGAAGGACTAGCAGAGCCGGGAGCGATAAGCAAAAGACGTGGCTCACGTGCATGTGGACGGCAGTAAGCAGCCCCCCTTTATAAATACTATAGTATAGAAACATTTCACGGACTACACACCCCCTCATCGAGTATCTGGGAGGTGTTGCCTTTGCAGGAAGGATTGAGGGATACCTGCTGGAAGATGGTATTTGACCTTGTTTGAGTTTCGTTTGAGCCAGGTGAATGCCGGCGTCACCCCCGTGGCGATTCTGTACGCGAAAAAAACGCCACGCTACCCACCAGTGTTGGCATTTCGATCACTCGTGAAAATGATTGCAATGGGCGCTTTCTCCCGGCGTTTATAGAATGGAGACGCGCTTTGCGACCGCGCCGGTGATGCAGTTGGTAAACGCAGCAATCATTGGCGACGTCGGGACGTGAGTTCTCCGCGCAGTCAAACTACTTAGCCGGGTCCTTTTTCTCCCGTCATGTGCCCGGTCCAAACGACGGGGAGAAAAGAGGGATTCCATGGCTCCATGAAAATTGACCCTCACAGTCCACGAGGCTGAATCGTTTCTGGCGATTAAAAACAAAACGGGTAAGCACGGTGAAAAGCGCCGAGAAAAAAAAAATTACCCCGGCAACAGTGTCCACATCGATTCCCCAATGGTGAAGTCTAACGTTCAACAAACAGGTGGGAATGCCACAAAAGGACAACAGAGACCAGCGCGCTTCCGTGAGACCCACAGTTGCAGTCGAATACCATCATGGTGGTCGGTGGTAGCACACCACTCGCCGACTCGTAGGTTCATGTACGAACAGTGATCCAGGTCACGACCAAAAACAAAACGTGTCTCACGGCAAACACGCGTAGCAAACGTCTGCCCTCTTCCATCTTGTGTATAATGTTGGCTGCTGGCTCAAACTCTCGCTCTTGGACTTCCCCACCTTTCCCCGGGCGCAAAACATGAAAAGGGTATTCCTCACAAGGTCTTACGGGAGAAAATCGCACGTTCCTGCTGCTATTCCTTGCCCCTCAAAAATGAAAAAATCATGAAATGATGTAGAAAACTCGACGCGCTTCTCTCCCAGCCGCAAAGGGCGCGTGGCTCAACAGATGTACACTCTCCGACAACACCCTTGACAAAACCTAAAATCACGGACAGCTAAAACATAACACATGGCAAACGCAACAAAAACAAACGTCGGAGAAAGGCGAGCGACCGGACATTTCCGGCACTACGGAACCAAGACGCATCCCCCCCCCCCCCCCCCCCCCCCCCCCCCCCCCCCCCCCCCCCCCCCCCCCCCCCCCCCC